GGAAAGACAGCCAAAGCAATGGAACCGACTTGGGAGGCAGGGTGATTGAAAGTGAATCCAAAGAGGAACCACCAGGTCAGCCTGCTGTGATCAAGAAAGGGGAAGAAGTGGAAGAAGAAGAGGTTCTTTGTGACTTTTGCTTGGCCGGGAAGGTGCAGGCAGTGAAGTCCTGCCTGACTTGCATGGTCAATTATTGCCAGGACCATTTGCGGCCTCACCTGGAAAATGCCAAACTACAGACTCACAAGCTTATGGATCCGCTGAAGGACATCGACATGCAGAGTTGTGAAGCCCACAAGAGGCACCTTAACTGGTTTTGCCATACTGATGTTGTCTGTGTCTGTGAGGAGTGCCTTACTGATGAACACCAGGGACACAAGGCTGTGACCTGTGCAGTGGCCAGGAGAGAAAAGGAGGTAAATCGTGGACTTGGGCTTATCGCCAATGTGGTGGTGCAGCAGGAATGCCATCGGGCATGCTGAGTTGCTGGGAAGGATGGAACCTGATAGCTCTCCCTTCCACATGGTCATGGCTTGCTTGCAGTGAGAGGCCAGAGTGAAGCAGAGCAGTTCTTGCTAGAGAGACGTTTAGGGCATACTCATTAGGGAGAAGGCGCCCTTGAACACAGTGAGACTTGCTTCTGAGTAAGCATGCTTAGGGTTATGGTGTCCATTTGGGAGATCTGGGGTTTCATAGCTTTGTAGCAGCCATATTCTGAAATTTTGTCCATATTTATTTTAATAAGGAGGAAATGTCTAGCAATTTTGGACAAGCAAAGGTGGGACTTGGCCTGCTTTCTGTTAGAAAATGGCCATATTACCATGTGTGGTCTGTGCTCAGGGCCCGCTTGCATTTCCTCTAAGCTCATGGCAATGGTGCTTTTTGCTATGTGGAGAAGCGGGAAGCTGGCTGCTGACAGTCACATGCAGACCTTGGCATAGATCAGCTTTTGGTGCTTGGATGCAGATGCTTGAAAAGCTGTGACTGGGTATCAAATGCACATTTGGATCCATGCACAGGAAGTGGAGGGATCTTTACTGTATTCCAGAGAAGTATTTGTTCTCCCTCCATAGGTTCATTTCCCGATGCTCTGGTTTCCAAGCTTTTATGAAGGTTCTTTCTGCCCTGCTTTCTCGAACTGCTGGACTGACTAGATAGCAATCAATCTTTCTGGATTAAGCTCACTGAAATCTCTGAATGCTTGAGCCATGAGAAAAGCTGTCTGAAGTCAATTAAGAACTCTTGAAACTTTCACTCAGAATGGTCTTTATGTCACCAGATGGAGACGGTGAAAAAGTAGTAATAGAGTGCATGTGTGAATGCTTATGATGATGCAGTATTATTTTTATCCTCACACTGATATCCTACCTTTCTCCAAAGATCTCAGAGTTGTGTAATCGGATTTAGTTGTATTTAGAATTACTTTAAAGGTCACTTTAAGGGTAGAAATCAAGGCTGCAAGCCATTACATTCCTCATGCAGATCTTTAGCAAAAAGCAAACAGATATACTTTATCAAGTTTAAAAAGTAGTCCTAAAACTATCATCTCAAGAGTGGTCCATAGTCTGAGACTGCTTGCTTGAAGTTTGGTACAGTTTTAAACAGACCAGGACAACTGTTTTGCTCTGTCTGAATGATCCGTTCGATGCCCCATATTTCCACGCTGAGACACTCCAAGCCTGAGGCTTTTCTAACATGAAAATAATTCCAGAGATGGCTGTTAATTACTCAGCTTAGGTGGAGATGCACATTAATTGCCGTTATGACTAGCCGTGTGGTGGGTGTGAACTCTTTGCTTTTTCTGACTGTCTTCCTGTTCTCCAGGAGAGGATAAGTATTATTTCATATTTCACATTTACATCAAAGCAGTTCATGCCAGCTTCTTCATCACCATCCACTAGTTTGATTTCTTACTATCTCTGCTTTGCTGCCTTTCGCTCCCAGAGGTTGAAACCCTTGGAATGAAACCAAAACTCCGTTTACTGTTCTGAATCCGGTTCTGGTCCTTATCTCAAGACATACAAATATAACATTAAATTATATGATTTAAAATGGGGCTGGGCAGCTTAGTTTCATGCAGGCCTTGGCCTACTTTCACAAGCTTTCAGCATGTGGTCAGTTGTGATCTCTGACACGAGTAATCTGCCCCTTTTTTGGTGGCCTGTTGGGTGGGAAGGAAGACAGAGGCAGATGGGAAATGTGAGCAAGAGAGAAGGTAATGGGAGAGAGAGGTCGGGTGGTAAAGGGACAAGCCATCTGCTTTTGAGGCTGGTTGTGCTCACTGTTGGCTTGGGCCCTGTCCACTGCCAACAGAGTACCTGTTCAGGAGAAAGAGCCCTAGTTCTAGTATTATCCACTTTCTCCACACCATGCCTAATTCTGAACTCCTATATCATGTCTCCCCTTCCTTTCTTTTTTCCTTGGCTGTTGTACCTTTCCATCATAGGGAAGTTGTTCCAGCCCCTTGATCGTTTTAGCTGCTCTTTTCCACACTTTTTCCAGCTTTGGAGTATATATTTTTTGGTGTGGTCACAAGAACTGAGCACAGTATTATCAGTGTGGTTTTTGTTAATCTTAGATGCTGTCAAGTCGTCTCTGACTTAGGGTGACCCTATGAATGAAAGCCCCCCCACCCCCCACCCCCAACATGCCCTGTCCTTGATGGCCCTGCTCAGCACTTGTTGACTCAAGGCTGTGGCTTCCTTTATGGAACTGATCCATCTCGTCTTTGGTCTCCTCCTCCTCTTCCTGCCTTTCGTTTTACCTAGCATTATTGTCTTTGCATCTTACTATCTCACGATGGGCCTGAAGAACAACAGCTTCATTTTTTGCCATTTTCACTTCCAGGGATAATTCTGGCTTGGTTTGATCTGGGACCCACTTGATTTGTCAGTTCGAGGCATATACAAACTCTCCTCCAACACTTTTCTTGAATATATCATTTTTCTTCTTGTCAGGTTTCTTCATCGTACACCTTTACCACTCAAATGTAGTGATTATAAATGCAAGAGAGCGGATGATCTTATGCTTGGTCTCCAGTGAAACATACTTACACTTGATTATCTTTTCTAATTCCTTCATTGCTGCCTTCCTTGTCCCAGTCTTATCATTTCTTGGCTGCAGTCTCCCTTTGAACTGATGATTGCTTACCTCCTAGCCAAGGTATATAAAACATTTCACAATGCCAACTTCTTCAAAGTTGACATTAAAGTTGTATAATTCTTCAGTAGTCAAGATTTTTGTTTCCTTAATGTTCAGCTGCAGTCCTGCTTTTCCACTTCTTTTTTCACTTTAATCAGAAAAGTGTAGTTGCATGATAGATTTCTATAAGGGTAGTATGACATTGGCAGCTTTATCTTCAATCACTTCCTAATTATACCTGACATGAAGTTTTCCTTTTTCATAGCAGCCACACATTAAGTTAACATTTTAATCAAGGTGTCCACCGTATCTGATCTTTCTTTGTCAGTCAGAACTAGCTCCACTCCCATCTGTTTACACTTGCAGTTGGAATCTTTTAACTTTATATTTACTTTCACTGTACTAAATTTGCCATTTTGATGTCCATTCACATGGTTTGGAGAGATCCTTTTGGAGTTCCTCACAGTCCCTTTTTGTCTTAACTACCCTAAATAATGTTCTATCATCATCAGACTTGACCACCTAGAATTATATGACAGTTAGCATCATGGAGCTAAAAGGTTAGCAAAAAATGCACCCACAGCAAAAGCTCAGAACAACCCAAAAGGCTGGTGACAGAAAAACTGTTTTCACATTTTACAGAAGATCCATTAGTGAGGAGGGTATTCTTTAGCTCAGGGGTTGCACATGAAATGTGAAAAAAATGAAGATAATGAGAATTAGAGCAAGACTCCAGATCCTGCTCTATGAACTGTGTTGGAACAAGTTCATACAAGAAAGGAAGCCCTCTAGGGAACCTGGCCCCAAACTAATAATTTGTTCTGGGCCCACAAAACCAACTTGCAGTTAGTGCAGGGTAAACAACATTGGGGGAATATACTTCAAAAACAAAACTAGGTAACATTCCAGCTGCTGCACTTTGCACTGGGTGAAGACTTGAATACTTTTCAAGGGTGGCCCATGCAGAGTGCATTGCAGTAATCTATTCTAAATGAGGCCAAAGAGAGTGTCCCGATCTATTTTCTCTAAGAAAAGGGAGGGGAGAGTGTGACATAGATGGGGTTAAACCTGTCAGATGGGGATTTGGAAGATACAGCTTTTAGTCCCCACTCAGCCCTGAAGAGGAGAATTTGGGCCAGTCACTGATTGCCAGCATAACCTGCTTCACAGGGTTGTCATGGGATTAAAATGGAGAGAAGAACTATATAAACTGCCTGCTGGGAGCAGATCTTTCGCTCTCTTTCCTCCTCCCCCCTTTCCCTTTTCCAAACAAACGAACTCTTTCTCTATCTCCTTCCCCTCAGCAATGAAATATGTCCTTCCTTTTACAAGATGAATTGTTTTTAAACATCTTTACTTGGTAACCTTGAAACTGCAAAGTCAACTCCCCTCCACCCCTCCTTAGAATCTGAAGGATTCATTTTGGAAGGCCTAACTTGAAAGAACTGGGCCACCTTTCTATATCACACTATAGGAATAAAGTGGGATATAAATATAATAAATAAATGGCAAAGTGGCATACCTGTCAAACCTGTGCAAAGACACTCCTACCTGCAGCTATCATTGACAACCCAGAAGCAAATCTGGGTCCAAGAGTACTTCCTAACTGTGATCTTGATCCTACACGGGGAGTGAAATCTCACCCAGAACACCTGTTCGCAGGTGAGCTTTCCTACAGACCAAAAATGCCTCTGATTTGTCAAGATTTATGCTTTGCACAGAACATCAAGCTTGGCCCTAAACGGATGCATTTCCCACAGGGACTGTTCACAAAAGAAAGGAATGCTATAATTTGATTCCTGAATGCGAGGCGTTGTTGTATTATCTCTATCACTAACATCTGATTTATCTCTCTGCAGTATGAACTTCTTCAGCTCCAAGCAGAATATGACTGGAAACTGAAGTCAGCCGAAAATGCAATTGTTAAACTGCAGAAGAATTCAGAGTCTATTGTGGTATGAATTTTACTAAAGCATCTCACTTCATTTCAAGACCAGTCCCTGGTGGGGATAGCATTGAATTAGCTTTATTGTTGTTCCACACTGAACAAGGCTTTGGGGTAGTCTTGTCATTGATACATTGTTAGAGTTGCATATAAGGTGGTTTCTCTTGGGACCTTGGGAACTTACTGAGTTGTCACAAATGGATCTGGAAGAGGATTGGCCTTCTGCCAGCCCAACTTTTATATGGATGGACTTCTTCAGATTTACCTAGCAGTGGTGGCAACAGCAGCAATGCCATTGGTAGAAACTGGCATTTCAATTTTTTGAAGTGTCCCAAAGGACCAACATAAGTCTTCCCACAGCATTTTGGGAAATTTAAATTGTGACTCCCAAACTGGCAGTCTGGTAGGGGGTTCCCAAACCAGCCCTCAATAAGAGTGGGCCATGGAGGGCCCCTGGCAGGGATGATGGGGTGCTGAGGGTGGGCTTGATCACCCTCTTTCCCTTCTAGAAGAACTAAAGGCAGTGATTTATCACAGAGATCTTCCTTTCTTGACTTGCTCCTCTTTTCTTTTCCCCTACTTTCCAAAAATATGGTCATGTGACCCATTTTCATTATGGTCACAATCCACAAGTCATACATTTCCATATTTCTGCAATCTGTAGCACCCACAAATTTGTAAACCACTTCCATGTTCCCCAAGAGATGTATCTGCTGACTGCATTCTCCCTTCCCCTGAAAGGTGCATTTCCCTTCCTCCCCTGCCAAAACCAGAGTGGATTTATTAGGAGCATTTCAGCCCATCCTTCTGCTGCAAAAAGGGTCAGCCCTCTGTACCAGGTGGCAGATTATAGATGTAAAGTCACAACAAAACATTGCTTGGCTAAAAGCCTCTAAAATGCAGTGCAGGGAAAAATGCAATATGGGAAGAGCAGAGCATACAGAGCAGCGGAAAAAGACAACTGTAGGGGGAGTGTGTGTTTGTGTGCATGCGTGTGCACGTGTGTGTGTGTGTGCAGATGTTCAGTATTCATACAAATCAAAGTTCCTAGGAAACAAAATGATCCTTATGTGGGGACTAAGAATCTAATCCTATATGCACTTACTTGGGAGTAAATGTCATTTAACTCAATGGGATTGAAGTCTAAGTAGATAGTATCTATTTAATCATTACATTTCTATATTGCCTTTCTGCCAAGGCACCCAAGGTGTTTTACCATTTCCAAATACTTAAATGAGAAAACCATTGTTACCAGAGGGCAAAGCATATAACATCAGAATATTGCCGTCTCTGGGCAAAGGAAGGCCTCTCCAGGGCTTCTTTCTGGATGAACCAAAAAATAAACATTATTGGGATCCCATGCTCCAACAACCGGACCTCAGTCAGAACTCCAGCTGCAGCATTTTGTACTACCCAAAGTTCTTGGACACTTTTCAAAAGCAGCTTCGCATATAGTGCATAGCAGGAATCCAGCATGATGTGACCCCGTCAGATGAGGTCAGGAAGTCAGATCTCCCAACAGAAGAAAGCCCATCCTGGTGCAACAGCCTAGGCTGCGCCAAACCATTCCTGGCCACAGCCACCATCTGGCCATCCAAGAGCAAGGCTGGATCCCAGAAGGTTCCCAAGCTGTGGGCCAGGTTCTCCAAGAGGGGTGCAGCCCAGTATGACATAGACTGTGAACTCACTACTAGGTCACTATTCCTGCTGGAGTTCATTGGGTGCAAGGACCAACACTTCGGAAATGGGCAGAGTGAAACTGGAGGCACAATCTTTATGCAAATTTTCCTTGATGAGAAGCAGTCTGATGAGATCACCAGCAGGGCAACCTCTGCCTCACTCATCCACATAGCAAGAGTTTCCCACAAGGTTGGCTCTTGTTAAAATAACTGAGGAGTGACTAATGCAATCCATTGTCATCTTCTGAAACGCTTCTTAAGAAATAAAGCCTTTTGCTATCCTGGCAGTCACTGGAGGAAAGCAAAACATTCCCCTGCTCTGCTCTGTCCTTCAGCCTGAAAAAGATCTACTTCTGCAGAGATATCTGGAACTACATTAGTCTGACAGGTTCCTGCTTCAAGAGCAAATTTGATCAGAGCTCTAGTGTAGGGATGGATGGATCTGTCAATGTCAGGTTCTTCTTTTTCTAATCTTAAATTAACTCTGAGGTTATTATTATTATTATTCCCCATTACCCTATAAGGCTTTCTGGGCAGTGTACAATATAGAAGAGAATAAAGATATCAACATTAATATAGTGAACATTTCCCTACAAATCTAAGATACATTTCCCACATAAATCTTCCTAAAATACATTAAATCATAATAAAAACAAGTATTATAAATGACTTAAGACATAAATCATGGCTCTTACACAAAAGAATATATACATGAAACATCTGCACAGATATGAACATCTTTCCTATCATGCCATCCTTTTTGGTTGAGAAGCTCTTTCTGAAGTGTCCGCCCTCTTATTTAAACCCATTTAGTTAACTTCACTGGCCTCCTCAACTTCTTCCTTTTTAGCTGGTTTAAATTAGTCCTTGCAATTTTGCCACTTTGCTTGCTAACCTGAAGAATTGCCCCCCCTCCCCCATGGCATGTGGAAACACTGTCATTGCCAAGCCCAGTAAAATGACATCTGTTCCTGCTTAGATGATGTACACATTTCTCACTTAAGCGGGCAATCGTAAAAACCCCGAAGTCAGAAGTGCGCCATAGACACCATGCCGACCAGGCTTCAAGCAGGTGTCAACTGGGTGTCCAGTGGGCAGGTGCCTGCCCTGGCGGGCTTGGGCAGAAAGAGAGGGACTAGCGCTTGGCTGCCCAAAAGCGGCCAGGAGGATGGAGCCTGGCAGCAGCTGTGTCTTCCTGCTGCCACCCGGCAGCTCGACAGCTGCAGGAGGCAGGCAAGAGGGCCAGGCAGGCAGTGGGGGTCCTCGGGTGCTCCAGGGGGCGCAGGGTGTGGGTGGAGAAGCACAGTGCCAGAGCAGTTTTTAACTTTGCGTGAAAATGTGTGCATAAACATTTTTGTCTGCACTTCTCATGCCTGATCCTCCGATGTCTCTTGATCACTGACCTTGAAAGGGTTAGCTACACACATTACACAGGATGCTTAATCCCAGCCTTGTTACTTTTCCACATGGTTTTTTGCAGTCCTGTTGTGGGGAGGACTCAATATTTGAGGGAGTGTTTACACTCCCTGCTTGGGTATTATGAACTGAGGAGGGCGTCTGCTCTCCATCTCACTGTGGGGAGCCGTTCTTTATATGGAGACATGAGAGAGGGCCTTTTTTGCTCTGGCAATTTTTAGCTCGGTTTTGATTTATCATTGCTCATCTTATGTACTGGTTTATTTATTTATTTAGAAAATTTCTATGCTGCCCCATTCACCGAAGCCTCGGGGCGGCTCACAAAACATTAAAATATAATACATTAAAAATATAAAACGAATTAACAATATATTATGGACAGTTGGGTTTTTAAAAATGTCTTTGTTGTTCTTATTGTTAAATTGTTTCTATTGATTTATTACACTTCGAGTCCATTGATATGGAGACAAGTGAAGTCTCCTCCAATAAATAAATGTGAATTAATCTGTTATGGGGAAATGCGTAATCTTTCTTATGCCAGGGGATGTAATGGACAGCTCCCAGCCTTGCTAGAGCATTCCTGCCCGGCTGTGGGAAGGAGCCCTCTTTCAGGACTGGGGGAAGAGCATGGCCACATTTGTACTAATAAAGTGGTGACTTGTGCTCCTGTAGAGTTCAGTATCTGAAGTCAAAACCTTGGTGGAAGAAAAGTTTGACGAATTGCTACAAGCCGTCAAGAAGGCTCACTCGGTTGTACTAGCTTTCCTGGAGGAGAAAGAGCGAGCTGCAGTGAATCATGCCAATGGCATAAAGATCCACCTGGAGAACAAGCGAGGGACGATGGAGGAATGCAAGAACAGGCTGGAGAAGATGGCTACACACACCAATGACATCATCTTCCTCAAGGTACCTCGGGTGATAGTGGGGCAAAGGTACAATTGGTGTAGCTGACCCCAAATGATGAATATATTTGGGTGCATGAAACACAAATTGAACGTACCCTTCCTATTTCATTTTTATTGATGAGCAGTTCAGGCTGCTCTGCGTTGGCATGAGCATCTACTCCTGCACATGCCTCTCATTTCTGCAGTCCAGAAGTAGTTTGGCTCATGCCCAAAGCAAGAGGAGGAAATCCTTGGCAGGAGCTCCAAGTCAGCAGGGGAGCTGCCAGCCAGGCGATCAGGCAAGCGGCGAGGCTTTGTGGAGCTCACCTAAGGAGGTCTTGCCCCAGCAACCCGCAGGCAGTAGTGGCTTCAGGATGCTCCCTGGAGTGTCAGCAGTGCCTGGATCCACAGGCCTCCTTGGGTAGAGCTGAGAGGCCTGCTGAACAAGTGCTCCGGCCTTCTGTGTGTCTCAGCTTTGGTTGCTTGGGTAGCGTTTGCCCAACAGGGAAAGATGAACTCCACATTCAGACAAGGCTAAAGTGACTTGCGCCAGTCATGTGCGGCGTGTGCACTCAGAATGGAAAGCAGATAGTTTCAGGGGTGCACAGAGAGGGCTGGGCAGTGCCATCCCCTTCAGCAGTGTCTACAGAAGAAGTGAGAAATGTTTCGTTTTGATTTGATTCAGGGGTCACATGGCTTGTGCCAGTCTCTCAGGTTTATTTATTTATTTGGAGTTTTTATATGCCGTCCCAGTTGCAAAAGCCTCGGGACGGCTTCCAACATAATAAACAAACAATCATACCTATACAATATAAAATATAAAATCTAGATTCACCCTGGCTATAAAAATTTAAAACCAATAAATAATATTAACAATTATTAAAATATTGTTTGAATAAAAAGAACTTGGCCTGGCGCCGAAAAACAAATAACGGCGGCACCAGGCGGACCTCTCTGGGGAGCGCATTCCATAGGTGGGGCGCCACCACAGAGAAAGCCCTCTTCCGGGTACTCACTCTCCTGATATCTTTCACAGAGGGTTCCCGGAGGAGGGCCTCTGCCGCCGATCTCAAGGGGCGAGTGATATTAAAAGAGTGGGAACACTTCCTGAAACCACTCCAGCAAAGCCTTCCCCCTCCCCACTCATTTCCCTTTCTCCAAACACAGAGAAATGTACAACTGGGTTGGAGTGGCAGCAGAGGGAGGGGCAGGGCATGGGAGCAGGGAGAATGGGAAGTTCCTTGGGCCAAAGCTTCCCCACTGCCTGGACATTCCTCACCACTGATATACAGCATTGCACACAAGGCAACTTTTGCTGTTCTGTAGTTTGCCCTGCTGTTCCAAGGCCTTTGTGGGAGGAATGCACTGGCATCTGGGGTCTGTCTGGGGCTCTAGACCAAGGCAGCATGATGCTTTATCCAGCCACGGTAGCTGAGTGGATGGATAAAGACCGAAGACTGAAAGGATACTTGTATGTGGGCATTTCTTAATAGGAATACTGTGAATTCAAGAAGAGTGAAGGAGATGACACACTGCCCAGTGTGTATATTGGACTAAAAGACAAATTGTCAGGCATCCGAAGGGTGGTCTCAGAGTCTACTGAACATCTTTTACAACTATTACAAACTTCCTATAAGGATAAATTGCAGGAGTTTGCCAAGGATGGTGAGTACCCAGGAATCAGTCCATACATTCATTTCAACCATTCATTACTCACTTGTTTCTACAAGTAAGCTAGCTATATTACTGATCTCTCTCTCTCTCTCTCTCATTTTCTTCTTCTTCTTCCTCTTCATCTTCTTCTTCCTCCAGAAGATGCTGGCATTAAAACGATGGTGTCTGCAATTGTTCCCTCCAAGCACCGTCTATCAGCACCAGAGCCCCAAAGCAGGAGCGACTTCTTGAAATGTAAGTCATTGGCCCATTTTTGGTGCAATTCACAAAACACAACACAACACACAACACGCCTATCTTGAATGCCACAGTTTGTTGAAAAGCAGGGTACCGATCAGATCAGATCAGCAGTGTTGGATCAGATCAAAGGCTTTTGTAATCCAGCATTTAGTTCATGCAGTAGTCAACCAGAGAGCCCAGTGTCTGACAAGCAAGAGTTGATAAGCAAGACACGACTTCACGATGACCTTTCTGCTCCTGTCCCCCAGCTGCTGGTATGGAGAGTACCATTGCAAGAAAGCTTTGCTGAATCTGCCTCTCTTCAGTTCACGGGCTTCCTCTCGTGCTTGACCCTGTCTTGCAGAGTGAGTCAAGTTGATAGGAAGCCTGCGAATCCTCCTGGAACTGGCAATCTTCTTTCTTGTCACGTGCATCTCCAACAAAGGTGCCAATCCGGTGTGTGTGTGGGGGGGTGACCACGGCGCAGTGCTTCATGGGACTTGACTCCTAGCGAGTGGGGTCTGAATGCTAGGCATGCTTACCAGGAAGTCTTATTCATGGTCCAAGAAAGTGGGATGGGGTTTGGGGAGTTGAGCCCCGGGAACCTGATGAATTCCCACCTCCAAAACAGATTCTTTACACATTCCCAACTGAGAGGCCTCTGATACATCAGAAAAATATCATCATGACCAGTAGCTCTCTATTGATAATATCATCTTTCATCCACTATTTCTGAGTTTCATTGTTGTTGCTGTTACTCTACTCTAAAACAGTGTTGGTATATCAAACACAACCAAGATAAGCCAGAAGAACCATACTGCAGTTATGATATGCAGCATTAATGAAGTCAATAGCTGGATAAAGTATCAAGAGAAATATAATGAGTCTGAACTCAGAACAGCTCAGCTTCCCTTTAATATCTGTGATCTAGTTCTAATGACTTTGTTTAGTTTCCAGTCTTTGTTCTGGAAAACACACCCAACTGTACAATCATTAAAACATACAAGATTCAAAAATATTAAAAAGTAGCACTGAAATACAATTCAGCACACAGCATATCTTATATTAAAACTTCACTGAAATAGATTTTCACAAGCCATCTCATTTGCAGTAAGCAGGGGTGCAAAATGGAAAGAAGTAGTTCTCTCTAGAGAATGCAGCTTCTTCCATGGATCTCCAAGCATTCGTTCATTCATTTATTTATTTTACTGTATGCAATTTCTCTACTGTCCAATAACCCTAGGCAGTCTACATAATACACATATAATACAATAAAAATCTTACAATTTTCCATAATCCAAACATTTTAAACATAGCTGAAAAAGTTAACAACTAAAACAGTATATAATACAGAGCAGACATGGGTACCTCCATCAAACTATCAGGGAATTTCAGACATCCTTAAATGTCTCCGCACAGAGGCTGTCAACCCGGCATTGAAAGGAGGACAAAGTTGGCACCAGGCAAGCTTCACTGGGGAGAGATTTCCACTACTGAGAAGGGCTTCCTCCTTGTTGCTGCTTTTCAAACCTTCTTTGGAGGCAGTACTTGGAGGAGGGCTTCTGAGAGTGATCATAGTATGTAGGTAGATTGTCCATCAGCTCCATCAGGTAGGAAGCTCCCTCAGCTATAAGCTGTGTAGGGCTTTGTAGATGAGAACCACCTCTTTCAATCAGATTTGGAAGCATATAGGCAGCCAATGCAGCTGGGCCAGAATTGGTGTAGTGTGTCCAGACCTTCTGGTTCATGTTGTTAATCTGGCTGCCGCATTTTGTATATGCTGCAGTTTCTGAATCAACTATTCGGATAGAGCATATCACAACAATCTAATTTAGCGATCACCAGAGCATAGATTATTGCAACCAGTTTATCCTTGTGCAGATGGGCAGAAGGCTCTCTGTACAGAAACTTTAGAAGCAAACTCAAATGCAAACAGCTCATCCCCTCTGTCTCCACATCTACATTTCTACCTCCTTGCATGGCAAGAGACTGGAGCCAGGAGTTGCCGTTCAGCTCATCTGAAGGTTCAGGAAGGCTGAGTTAGGTGTACTAGTGTGGCGCTGTGCCAGTATTTCCATGTCCTGAGCTGCTGGCTGGATTTGCATGTCACAACAAGGAACCCTGCACAGTTTTTTTAACTTGATGGGCTAACCACCATCTCCTGCACTCTTGGTCCAAGGAGATGCCATGGGGAGCAGGGGGGCTCCTCTCCGTGCCAGCCGCGATCACAAGACGAGTTTGCCTTGCCGCAGCTATTAAGCAGTCTCTGAGGAGCAGACAGGGTGCAGATGCTGAAGCGCAGCAGAGAGGATGAGGGAGGTGATCAGGCACCTAATCCATGCTCAGGCAATGTGCGTGTGTGTGTTGGGGGGGGGGATCAGCTGGTGGCACCATGGAAAGGAGCTTGAGCAGGTGAGTGGAAGGGGCAAGAATCAGCCGGGTGCGGTGCCTGCTTGGGGCCATGCTGCTCCACTGATTCCCTTGTCCCCCCACAGATGCTGGGCTGGGGATGCCTCTCTGGCAAGCAGGAGCAAGAATGGGGGGCTCAGCGGATTCTTGCCCCTTCTGCTCCTGTGCACGAGGGGCTTTCTCTGGTGTGCACAGGGGGATGGTGGGGGAATGAGCCGAGCGGCATGCCCCCTCCCCAGCACTGACCATTGGAGTGCCAGCTCCTGCCCCAAAGAACATCTTCAGGGAGGGAAGCAGGCAGTCGGGGTGGGGTGGGCTCTGGCCGTTGTGCAAAAGGGCAGCTGGCAGTGGTGCTTTCTAGCTAGTTGCTTGGCAGGAGTGGCAACAGGCCACTGTTGCCAAGTGGCGCTCTGCTTCTGGCCTTGATACCTCCACAAGTTGTGTCAGAAGACACCACAAGCCATCATGGTACTGAGAAGCCATGGGACAGGCAAAACATATTGTTCTGATATACCACCATAGGGTTAGGATGACGTGACAAGCCAGCGAAGGTAAAAAGCGAGCATGGAAGTCGTCTCCAGTGGCTCGTCAGGGACAACTCAGTCTTCTGTCTGGTTGACCGACCTGTTGAGGACAGGCCGTGTGAGCCTGCTTGAAAGGGGTTTTCCTTCCACTCTTGGGCCTGGTTTACACAGAAAGCTGATCAGGGCATGTGAATACAGCCTCACCAACAAACCACAGCTTGGTAACCATGTGCAGACCCATGCGTTGCTGTTGGGCTGTGAACTCTTGGTCTTCCTGGGTGAACCCACAATTGTTCACGTGTCTCTTGCCAGGCTACAGAGATGGCAAGTAAAAATAAACAACCAGCTCATCTACATGTCAGCACTGAAGAAACATTTGGGATACACAGAGGGACCAGGCAAAGAAGGAGGGAAACAAACAGTGTAGAAACTGAGAAAACAAGCTGTGGTTTGTTTGATAACCTGGGCAGGGCAGATAAACCTTGAGCCAGGCAACAAACCATGGGTTAAATTAACCATGGGCTAGTCTTATGTGCTAACTAGGGGATAATTCATTGTTGCTTATTAATATGGCAAGAACCTTGTCCCTTGTATACAATGTAAGGGAATGCTATATATTCTGGGTGAAGACATTGTGTGGAGGATGAGCTACAGGGACAATATTTAATTAGAATAATTAAATATTTTAATTATTATTAGAATAATTAACCCACTGGAATGTATTAGAAGGAAGATTGTCCTCATTCTTTCCAGAATGGAGAAAAAATATTCGTAGATCACATCTATTGCAGAGTTTAAAGCAAATAAAATAAAATAAAATAAAATAAACCCATATTTATTTATTTATTTATTTATTTTTCAATTTATATCCTGCCTTTTTTCCTACCAAGGGCTCAAGGCAGCTTACATCTCCTCCTCCATCTTATCCTCACAACAACAACCCTGTGAGGCAGGTTGGGTTGAGAGTCTGTGACTGGCCCAGAGTCACCCAGTTGGCTCCATGGTTGAGCGGGGACTAGAACCCAGATCGTCTGAGTCCCAGTCTCATGCTCTTAACCACTACAACACACTGGTTCTCCAATAATCCTGAATTTAATATCAGGATTAAATTCTAAAATTTGTGATCTGATTTTAATTGCATATGAATGATTGAGCACTGCAGTGAGTTTATTGTATTTCTTTTCTTGGTGCCAAACCCCACAACTCTATCAAGCCATTGGTAACATTCCAAACATAAATGCAAGAATTCAATTGTTATTATGCGGGGCGCATGACTACTTCACCGCTCCCTCTGTCACTGTGCAATGTAGATGTGATGGAGGCAGGAGGGGAATCCACTAGCCAAGCAGGCAGTATTACTCTTTATTTGCTCAATAGCAGATAATTTTACGTAACACAAAATGAAATTCTAAACTTTTTGTTTTTGAGAAATGGTAACAAATCCAGATTCTTCTATATTTTCTATACAGAGATCCAAAAAAAAGGTATAAATTCTGTATAATGTGCTCCTCCTGTAAAATCTGCAAGATTCAATGTATATTCTGATTTGGTGCTCCAGAAAATGATGAATTCTGCTTGGATCTGTTGGTTTTCACTTGAGTACTGAACTCAACTTGAGAGTCATACATCTGAAGCTTTGTGTCTCCGCCTTTCATGTGGATTAAAAAAAACCCTCTAACTTTTTTTGTATTTCTCAGAAGTGGGTGCAATTTGCAAGCACCCCCTTATAAGAAGGGATTACATTTTCCAAATTTCAGAAAAATGGAGGCAGTGAGTTTTGGGCTATAGGCCTTTATATTTTGAGTTTTTAAAAGAAAACTGTAGATAAGTTTTTATTTCTTGGAAGAATTGGAAGAAGTCTACAGGGATACTTACCTCTTCTGAAGGAAGCCTGCCAGGTTTCAAAGAACACAGAGGGAAGGATTTTTGTTTAAGAACAGCCTGGACATTTTGAGGGTATTCAAAAAAGGATGTCCTTATCTTCCTATATTCCTTTGTACGCTATTGCTCCAAAATGACAGAAAGTTTAGAGGTAATCCTAAGCAAGAAAACTGCCACCTTTTAGACGGTTAGATACAACCCTCCATGTGGAAGGAGAACCCTCAAATTGATCTGAGATGTGCTCCCAACAGGAAGGGGAAGCAAATCTCTCCTCTTTAACTTTCCCAGCAGAACTTCTAATTACTAACCTTCTAACTTTTGTTAGGTAAGGTTGTCTAGTTAAAGCTGGCTTAGTTATACAAAGTAATATAAAAGTCGTTAACAAGATGTATCTATCAAGTTAGCAATCTTTCTAATTGTTTAGTTAGTTCTTCCCCATACTAACAGTTGATTCCAAACTCCTCCCTCCTCCCTTTACCTCCAAAAGGGGTTGGTTCCACCCTCAGTGAGGTTCGTGGTGGGCAGGAAGGCTGGATTGATCTGCTTATTTAACTTGACACCAAGCCACTGGGCTAAGCAATTCACACCCTTTTCCCTCTGACCCTCCTTTTTCTACAGTATCTGCCTCCAGATTAGAGGCAGCGCTTACCTGCTGGAGAACTTGGCTTATCTTGCTGTCCATTAACCTTGGAATTTCAGCTTAGAATTCCAACACCACCTCTTCATGTGGTTTAGATTCAGAGTCTGATATATTTATTCTGGAAGCAGCAGGAATTATCCTTATACTTATTTCCCCATGATGAAAATGGCACATATCAAAAAGCCAGGTTTCAAAAGGATGGGTGCAGGCTCTAGGAAGTTGGGATTACTTAAAAGCTGTTTAAGGCTTTTCTATAGAGAAGTCTGGTGGCATTCAAAGAATGGCCTTCCCATGGTCCCATCCAAAGTACAGAGCCTGTGCTCAAATTGCCTTATGGTTAGAAGTAAGCCATGGAACCCCCTCCCTCCCACCTTATCAGTGTTTAGGGAAACAAAAGAAAAAGGGAAAAGGCACTAATTTTGGAGATGTACTGTCTGTCATTTCATTTTCATCGCATTTCATCCATTATGTTTCTATACCACCCAAGAACCAAAACTTTCAGGTTGATTTGCAAGATTAAAAACCTTAAAAATGCAGTATTTTATGCATAACATAAAAACAGTTTGGCTATAAACATATAACCAGAGAAGACACATAGGCATATGCACATATCCAAAGGATATCCAGTGATCTGATTAAAAACCTTATTGTCATAGGCCGTCAGACACCTGGGAATAGAGAAAATGATGTAGATATGATTACAGTGTTGGCACCAGGCGTGCCCCAGGGGAGAACTCATTCCATAATGTGGAGGTGGGGGCTGCCACTAAAAAGGCCTTCTACCTTTTTGCCTCCATTGGCAGTGGGCGTCAAATGATGCAAAGAATTCCAAGAGGGCTCATGCCTAGAATGTCAAAATAAGCCTCGGACAGGGCTCAGCCTTGAGTTCTGATCAATTGGAAGGAAGCTCACTTTGTACTGGGAGGCACAAAAATGGTGAAAAGAGACCCCAAGAGATCTCATGTTTTGTGTGAATTTGCTCCGCATCCCTTGTCTTTTGGGTGCCAAATCCTGTATTGTTTTCTGTGCAGAACTCAATTTTTCTGATTGCAACCATTATATCTGTTTTCCTTTGCAGACACTTCTCCACTAACCTTTGACCCTGTCACTGCCCATCGCTATTTGAGGCTCTTGGATGACAATCACAAGGTCACTAACACCACCCCGTGGGAGCACCCCTACTCCGATCACCCAGAGAGATTTGAGCACTGGCGCCAGGTGCTGTCAGGCAAGAGCTTATACATTGGCCGCTACTACTTTGAGGTTGAGATATTCGGGGCTGGCATTTACATTGGCATGACAACCAAGAGCATCGACCGGAAAGGTTCGGAGAGCAACAGCTGCATCTCGGGGAACGACTTCTCCTGGTGCATTAAGTGGAATGGCAAAGAGTTCTCTGCTTGGCACAGTGATTTGGAGACCCCCTTGAAAACCCAGGAATTTAGCAGGATAGGAGTCTATTTGGATTATCCCAGGGGCACCCTCTCCTTTTACGGCATTATTTCCGAAGTCATGACTCTCCTGCATAAATTTGAGTGCAAGTTCACAGAACCTCTGTACCCAGCTTTCTGGCTATCAAAGAAAGACAACAGTGTGCGGATTGTGAAGGTGCGGGAAGAGGCTGAGCAGACTCCAGCTCCTTCCAGTTCCACAGGAGAAGCTGTTTCTTTGGGCACAGCTTTGGCACCTGCGAGTGAAGGAGAAGCAAGTATGAAGACTGTGGATTCAGGACAAACTCTCTGATTGTGGCTGATGTGATCACAGGCCAGGTTATAGGCCAGGTGCACAAGCATAATATTGAAAAAAATCTCTATATAATTAGGGTGTTGCTTGCTATCATACTAGGACCCTAAAGATCACCAGCTGAGAAATAAAGGACTGCAATCGTTTGATTTTTCTTTTGCACTGGCTTCATTATGAGAGAGAGTGTTTTTCTTTTAAAACTGTTGTTGTTGTTGTTAGTCAGGAAGTTGTGTCCAACCCATCGCGACCCCAAGGACAACATTCCTCCAGGCCTTCCTGTCCTCCACCATCCCCCAGAGTCTACTTAAGCTCACACCAGCCACCTCATCCTCTGCTGCCCCCTTCTTCTTTTGCCATCTATTGTTCCCAGCATTAGGCTCTTCTCCAGGGAGTCCTTCCTTCTCATTAGGTGGCCAAAGTATTTGAGTTTCATCTTCAGGATCTGGCCTTTTAAAGAGCAGCCAGGGTTGATCTCCTCTAAGACTGACTGGTTTGATCTTGCAGTCCAAGGAACTCACAGGAGTCTCCTCCAGCACAATTCAAAGGCCTCAATCCTTTTGTGCTCAGCCTTCCTTATGGTACAGCTTTCACAGCCATACATTGCAACTGGGGAAACCATGGCCTTGACTATATGCACTTTTGTTGGCAGGGTGATGTCTCTGCTTGTTAGTATGCTGTCTAGATTTGCCATTGCTTTCCTCCCCAGGAGCAAGCATCTTTTAGTTTCTTGACTGCAGTCCCTGTCTGTGGTGATCTTGGAGCCCAGGAAAATAAAATCTGTCACTACCTCCATTTCTTCCCCATCTATTTGCCAGGAAGTGATAGGACTGGATGCCATGATCTTAGTTTTCTTAATGTTGAGTTTCAAGCCTACTTTTGCACTCTCCTCCTTCACCCGCATCAAGAGGCTCTTTAGTTCCTCTTCACTTTCTGCCACGAGAGTGGTATCATCTGCGATCTTAATTCCAACTTGTGATTCTTGCATATTCAGGGGTGAAGGACAACTGGCTCTTAATATCAAACTGCTTGCTCTGCAGGGCGAGCCCCACAGTCAAACCAGAAGATTCTTCCAGCTTCTCTTTGTGTACAATTTGCCTGCAGGAGTGTCTTGTTCTAGCCCAATTTGCCCCTTTCATTGTATTTGCTGTAGAGGTGGACAGAAATCACATGATTTTGCAGGGAAACAAGGCATGCAGGGAATGTGCGTCCTGTTTCCAAGCATGATGGCATCCCCAGGCATACAATTCTTCTTGCAAACAAGGTGAGTGCTTCCTGTGCACCTTGTTTGCATGCAAAATTGCCAGAGTTTTTACTGTCAGCAAACGTGGCAGCAGAGAAGCAGACTGGGGGGCACAGAAATGGTCATGGGTGGTTTGCAGGGTGAGGGAAGTGGAGGAGCAATCCTAGACTTGGTGACCCTCCTGCCTTCCCTTGGATGCCTGTAATCCTCTACCTTGGGAGGATTCTGGGCAACCAGCTGGATGGTAATCACACTTTCCTAAGCATTCAGGCTAGCCAACTTTTCCAGCACACTTCCCTGGGGATTATGGTGGTTGTTGTCTGATTTATCCGGAGGGTGTCAAGTCAGGGAAAGCTGAGATAGGTTCCATGTTTTGTCCCTGTCTCCTCATGTAAGGTATACCTATTTCCCCTTGAGATGCTGTTGGAAGACTGGATTTTTCATGGCAAAATATTCAAGGGAGGATTAAAACAGCAAAGAGTGGTATAAGAATATGGTATATGATATGTTGGCGACATATAGGTATGTGAGGGGATGTCACACGGAGGTAGGTAGAGACCTGTTCTCCCCCGCAGAGGAAGGCAGGACGTGCTCCAACGGGGCAAAGCTCAGGGAGCCAAGGTTCAGTTTAGGTGCCAGGAAGCACTTCCTGACAGTTAGGACCCCGAGGGTGTGGAATGGGCTTCCATGAGAGCTCGTTGAGGCCCCATCGGTGAGGGTGTTCAAAGATAGGAGGGACGTGCATATGGTGGGCACGTCGTGAGCGGAGCCGGCTGGAGTTGGGGGTCAGACTAGATGGCCCAGGAGACCCCTTCTGACTTGCTCTGTTTCTATGTTTCTAAGAACATCATGAACAGGAGAAATGTCTCTCAACACAGTCAAATGAAGGACAACAAAGAAGTGGGGTTTCTTAAAAAAATGAAAGGTACATATATGCAAATGTTGAAGGCTGAATAAATAAAGATGATCTTAATACAATTGTTTTCAGAAAAAATAGAAGTATGTTTTTGAAGTCTGGGGGACCTGAAAAAGCCAGACATGTTTTGAAGTCTGGGGGACCTGAAAAAGCCAGGCATAGAAATGTTTTAATAAATAAATAAATAAATAAATAAAATGTTCCAGCATGCCTAGAAACACCACTTTTTCTCACAAGAGGGCAGTGTTGTTTCATAGCAGAGCTGATGTGCTTGGTGTGAATCATGTGTTATTTGAATCTGGTTTAATGCATTTTTTTTCCTTAGAAGGCAATTTTAGGTCAATGCAAATATACATCACTGCCTATGAATGGATCAGAATCTTTTTTCAGGCTATTAAGGAGACATTTCTGAATGCCTGAAGGCAGCAATGGGCTGGATAGATGAGGGCTAATATACTGAAACGTAATCCAGGCAAGAAAGAGATGCTCCTGATCAAGAAAGGGAAGAAGAGTCCAGGATGTTTTGGTTGGAATAGTGCTCCCCTTAATATGATCAGGGTTTGCAGTAGGGACCTTTTCTGGATCTGGTCCTTCTTCAGGATGGCCAGGGAGTCACTGTGCCAAGTCCAGTCCACGCAAGGCTGGCTTTGAAGAGCCTCTGAAAGTTCCACTGGATCAGAACATGGCAGGCAGGCTTTGGGAATGGGCTGCGCGTACAACTTCTGGTCTGTTTCTGGGCAGAAACCACTAGTGGTTATCTGTAAGGACCTACATAACTTGAGCCTTGAATACCTGAAGGACTATTTCTTCTTATATCATCCTGCCTGTTTCCTAAGATACGCAGGAGCCTGGGTAGCCTCGCCATTAGGCAGAGTGAGGCAGTCTCCTCACCAAAGTTGCTGGGTGATGTGAAGGGAGCAGCAGCAGCAGCAGCAGCAGCAGCAGCCTCCTGGTTGTTTCCCCTTATGGGCAGACTGTCCTAAACCCCTAAGCTATCTTGCTTGCTGTGGAGTATTTGGTTCCATCACAAGTTGAAGTAAGGCTCAACCATTAGTTCAACTGTCCTCTGTAGGTAAAATGGGGTGCTTGTGCCTTCCTATAACAACACAGTGGGCAGCTTCTCATGACACAACAAGCCATGGTGCATTCTTGCACAGGATGGTCTCTCTGTCCTCTGAACCCTGACATGGTGTTTCAGCAGGGTAGGTTTGGTTTTTAGAAATGACAATCAGGTGCAGTGGTTTGTTCTGTGGTTTCTACACTTTGCCATGAGTTCTCCTTTCACCCAACGCTAGTCATCATGGTTTCCCTGGTATGCTGCTACCACCAAGTCCCCTGGAGAGAGAGGGAGCTGCTGCAGGAACAGCTCCATCTATCCGGCATGGGACTAAATCTGGCTGCTGGGTGGCATAGGAAATAAATAAAGAAGAAGAACATGCAACTTTCTAGCAATTATACGTAGCCCTCCTCTTTCAATCCCCCTTTTCTTGCCTTGTTTCTTCTCTGTATTGTAATACTCCCTCAACTCCCAGCTCTTACCCTTGCTGTCTCTTCACCCCACCTCTTCAGCTCGGTGTTTCTTCTTAGCCTTTCTTACCTTCTAGCTCTGTTCTTTTCCATCCCTCTGCCTCTTTGGTGTGCTCTACTCCCCTCCCTCCTTGACTCTGGCCTCACTATTGCTCTCTTTTGACTAGCCAGCCTACACCCCTGCCCCTGGCAGCCTTAATGTGAATAGCCACATTTTCCATGGGAGACCTTTTGCAATGGGGCCCACAGAAGCCCCTCTGTTTCCCAGATGTGCCCACTGATCCAAAAGCGTGGGAATCCCTGGGATAGGATGTGTGAGATGGCATTCTCTATGGTCATACCAAGATTATGGTGGTGGAATATTAGTTCACTGACTCCATCTTATTCTTTGTTCCTCTTTTACTGATCTTATTCTTTGTTATGATATTTCGACATTTTTGGCTTCAGTGTTGTTGCTTTTGTTGTTGTTGAGAGCCAGCCTGAGTGCTGTGACAGTAGCATTGGGCTAGGGTATAAATGCATCTAATAAATAAAACAAAAATGATTTTCTGTCACCTAACTCAGATCTGTTTTAGCATAAAAGTTAAACTGTTTACAGACTGGGCTTCCTAGACTAAATTTTTCACTGAAACAAGGGTTCACTGCTTGTTGGATCACTGTGGTCCCAGATGACTGTTATACTGTAATATAGATAGATTGATAAGCAACTCGGAACTGCTTTATACTCCATGTACTCCTGACAGATATTGGATCACTTGTCCTGTGGTATTCATCCCCCCACCCTGACATTTTCATTTAAAAAGCAAGCGTTTAAGGCCCAATCCTATGCGATCTCGGAAAAAGAAAAGGACCACAAATGCCAGTTATGCTGGCTGGGCTATGCTGGGAGGTATGGGACTTTTCTCTGTCTAAATATGCATAGGACTGCCCCCCGAATACATTCAGCTATCATAGGTCCACTCCTGGGTTTTATCCTGAACTCACTGATCAGGATGCTCACTGATCATTCATTGATCGCATCTGCACTGTGGAGGCCAGTGGCCCACTATGCCTGCTGCTAGAGAAGTCTGATTGGGCCACGGTCACATGGGCCTTGGCTGCGTCTCCAGGGCGGTTGCATGCTCCGGTAATGACGTGTGGAGCCCTGTATAGCTTGGGAAGGGAGCCCGGGCAAGTGGGGCTTTTTGCCGGGGCCTTTTCAGGTGCGAGGCAGGGGGGCAGGAGAGAAAGAGAGCGAAATTTGACCTACCATCTCCATGCCTCTCAGGCTCCCACTTTGCTGTGAATTTCACCATAGAAGATTCAACTTAAAGATTTAAGAGTGCCCCCTTAACTTCACCTGGCCCATGGAAAAGAGGATTTTGAGGAGATTCGCTAACAAGAACAGCCTGAGAGCGTCTGGAGGTGGAACAAGCAGCACCCCCACCCACGTCACGTCACGGTGAGTAGCATGCAAAGCCAGCCAAGCTTTGTGGGTGCTGGAGGCAGAAAATCCCTCAAGCAGGCCTCGCCCAGTCCTGGTAGTAAGCGAGGACGCCAGCAGATTAAGGAAGCATTTGCTGCCCTTTTATCCCACTCCAATCTGCTGCCTCACTTTGCCTAAAGGTAGGGTTGGCCCCGCCTGTCTGTGCCAGGAAGGGAGTGTGCATATATCCCCTGGACGTCATGCTTGACTTCTGGGAAATCTTGAATTGGGTTAAGACTATCTCAGCTGATACTGTGGGTTGTGGGTTGCGGAACAGGCGAGAGTTGTGTTCCCACTCTTTGTCCTAGTGATGACATTAGGAAAAAGATACTCGAGGGTGGCAAAGGGCAGAGCAGATTATGGAGTGAGGCAAGCTTTGTCACATATAGACAAGCTGTTAAGGGAAATGCTCCGAAAGCTCATTTGGCCATTCAACAGCTGTAATTCCTGTGCGTGGCATCCTGCCAGCTCTGCCAAGAGTGCTTTGGTTGTCAGTGGTGAGTTAGAGGGGCCACATGCTTGCTCGGCTCTCCTGTAACGCTGCCTATATAGTCACACCACGCAGAATGAATCGTATCCTCCAGATGTGATTCATGCCTCCTATATATTTAGGGAAAGCATCCTGCAAAAATTTGGCAAGCAAACAAGCCTGCTGCAGGATCAGATTAATAATTTCAAATTAAGCTGTAAAGCAAATGTCCCTATTATGCTTTAAAACCCCACTAAAAATCGACATTTTTGGATAGAGTGAGAGAACATTTCAAGCTGAACGCCAGCATCTAAATAGCCTGGAGAGAATACAAGGGAGATCCGGCTTGTGCGGCAATTTTGGATGTCAAAACAAGTTTCCTTGCTACCATAAAATGCTATTTGGAGTTCACATTTTAATTAAAGTTTTAATTATCCCCAGAGTATTTTATTAGCTTTTATGAAGACAGCTGCTTTTTTACACTATAAACCAAAGCCTTGCTCCGCTCCAAACAGCAACTTGTCCCAGTTAGAAGTTTTGTCCTGAATAATTTCCATCATTGGTAAACTGGGTTATTTAATTTAAACTGACATTTACCATCCCAGTTTGATTGAAATGGCTTTTTTATTGCAGAGGCAGCAAATAACCTTGGATGGAGATTTCGTGCAATGCTTAGATAAGATGGGGGAATCTTCCCTGGGGCCTAATTTTCCCTGCAGAACCAAAGGCCTGCTGGACCTGGGGGCCTGTTATTCACATGCCGGATCCTGACCCCACCCCTTCCATTTCCATACCACAAGAGAAAGATTCCCTAGAGAAATCAGTGGCTGTTACTGGTTTGGTTGTTTGGAATGTGCACAGCGATTGCTTCTGTAGCATATTTAATTGGAACGAGTTCATAATAAACATGTAACCTCAGCAGACCTTTTGGAAAATGAAAAGGGTTGTGCCTAAGCTAACCTACTTCATTTTACGTGATGCTTGTGTTTGGTAGGGTGTGTAGTTATTATGCTGTGTGGAGGTTGTTCTTGTTTTCTGGAACTAGTAGAGCTGTGAGCCAGCAATCTTTTGAAATTCTCCTCTGTACTTGTGGGCAAACATATTATCTGCCCATTGAGGTTCACACTGTTCACTACCAGTCTTCTTCCATAGAATTCTGTGTGGGGTTCAGCTTTCAGCATCTTCTTTCTGTAATTTTCCTGTCTGGCCACCACTTTTCCATTTTTTCCTCAGCACCCACAGCCCAGTGAGCTGGAGGAGCAGAAAATGGTATGCTTTAAGGACCCTCCACGGCAGCCAGGTGGCACTCCTGTGGGTACCTCCACACCTCTACCCTTAATGCCCCCGGGAGTTCAATTGCGTACTACAGAGAAACCAGGTGCTGCTTAGTCATTCACTCAGACCCTCACCAAGGATAGTGGCAGCAAAAGACATGATATGGGGGAAGTAGCTGTACCAGCACCATATCAGTTCCAGTTCTGCTGATGGACATTGGTCCATTTCCAATTCTACAAATGTGGGATTGCCTGCACAAAGCAGGGACGTTCAGGAAGACTCAAACTGTGTGTGTCCATTGCAATCATAACAAAAAGGGTCCCTTGAAGGGACGCTCCCCCTGGCATGCATAGCAGATTTTGGGAAGGGGTTTATCGAACCTATGATGGTTTGAAAGGGAGAATGCCCCTCTTGTGCACCGTGCTTCCAGGCTATCTCCATTTCACCTGGTAGTTGAAGAAACTGCCCTTGCGTGCTTGCACACAATGAAGGTCATCGCTACTCAGGCTCCATGTAATCCGTGCTAGAAAGAGGACCCACGCTTGAATGAACCATGGCTCAGTCAGGTGACAGCAGAGGAAGGTGGGAAGGGAAAACGTGTCCAGAAGAATCCTGTTCCTACCCCAGCAGTGCCTGTCTCTGCTCCAAAGCCAGCTACATGTCACACACACACACACACACACACACACACACACACACACACACAAATAGAGCCCCACAGGACTGGACTAAGGGTGCAATTAGCCCAGCTGGCCTATGATTTATTCACTAGTGACTTATTCAGAATATTTTGTTCTTCAGTCCCAAAGCGTCCTGAAGCGGCTTACATAGAACTCTAAAATATGACTCTAGAAGAACTGGAAGAGTCGTGGAGAAACCAGTCAGGATTGGGACTCTAGCAAGATCCGGACACACAGCAAGATCTCTGTGTCTATTCTTTGCAGGACAACTCCTCCCCACAGAAAAGCACCCCCCCCCCCAAAGATGTAGATTTAAAGTAATGTCTGTTTTGACATTCAGCAAACCTGGGTTTGCTGACAGAATCACGTAGTTGGAAGGAGCCATCACAATTGGAAGTATGGGGCTCTCTCCCCTGTACCGTCTAATTAATCTCTGAAGGAGGTTGTGCTCGTGCTTGGCCTGGCATCTACCTTGCCTGTTGACTTGGGGCCAGCAGGCTATGAGGCCAGACGGTAGAAAGAGGCCCGAGCGCCGCTTTCAGAACTGCATCCTGTCCCTTCTGCAACCAGGCCATCGGCACCGAGCAAGCACACTCAGTGCACAGTTACCTGCAGACAACAATCCCTGATCTGTTTGGGAGAAGGCCCTGCTTTGGATACTGGTTACAGCCGATAAATAATAAAAGTAGACTGGGCCTGCCACTGGGTTTTCCGGTGATGGATGGAATACAGGCAGGCTGAGTGCTTACAATATGCTGTGCTGAAAAGCAGAGATAAGAGGGAATCAGCGTGAGATATACAGCTTTGTACAACTGCGGAGGAGGCTGGCGACTAGCTTCCTGCACTACATCCACGGCACGCTATCAACCTCTCTGGGCTGACAGCTCTGCCCACCCCTAGATGTCAGCCTTGCAATCCATGGGCTTGAACATGTCATCGCAGCCTCGTAGCGCTACTGTCTGGAGGAGCAGACTGGGTGAGGGCTTGTGGGCAGAATGGTGGCCGGCGGGAGACAGACGAGGGAATGGCCACATAGCAAGTGGGGAGTCGCAAAAGAATTGTGTGCGCGGGAAGGCCGAGGAGGGAAGGAGGCTGTCCTTTTCCTCTAAGGCCAGATTACTTAAACACATGCACACACATGTGCTCACGTTTGACGCAGACACATGGATTGTAACGCCCACAGAAAATTAGGGAGAGGGATATTTCCTTTCCTCCTCTTCTTATTTCCCATACCTCTTGGCTGTTGCCATCCCACCCACAGCTAAGATATCCTGCTGCTTCCTGGGTTTCCCAGTTCCACATTATTAAATAGTGTAACCTTTCTCTTCATGGCCTTGCCCAGCTTTATCTTGTACTCTTTTACTTTTTCCTTTGCCCAACAGACACTTTCACAATTCCAACACTGCCTATCCCAGGTGCTCCTGGTAGAGAGGAGCAAAGAGGGGGCAGACATCCTCCTGCAAATTAGCTTGTGTTCCAATATATTTTTCTTTCAGAAATCATGTGGGGCAAAGCTGGCCCCCATCAAATACACTTTGCCCCCTTTGTGTACCCTGATGTGGGTTTTATTTTTCCTAATGCCTCTACTGGTCACCCTTCACTTTATATGGAAACCTTGAGCCCAATTGCCTCTCCTGAACAGCCCTCACAATCATCCGATATCTCTTCTGTTTCTCTTCCATTTGGCTCCTGGAGCAGACTGGTTTACTTACCACTGGCAGAGGGTTGCTTGAACTAGGACTCTGCACAGGGGCTGCTCCGTGGTGGCAGCTGTATGGAAAGAGAGATCCTCCGTCTGCCCCACATGCACGTATGGCATGGAACGTCTCCACATCATCCCAGGCATGTCTGGTGGTGGTTGATGGAGATTCTTTCAGAAGGAGAGGGCAGTCCATGTCGCAAAGTGTTGCACTTGTTATAGATAGGCTGCTGTTTCAGTGGATCTTCACACAGTGGGGTTTGTAAGCCAGCCATGATTGCTTTTATGTCCATGTCCATGTCCATGTCTAGGACTGGGACAAACCCGTTCAGAAACTGTCCCTCCAGTATCTGTGGACTTCCTCTCCAACAAAGCAAGCCAAGCCAGGAGGGAGTCCATGAATGCTCACAGGCCTCTGATGGCACAATGGGCAGCCTTCCTCATCAGGAGCAGCTGCAGGGGGCGAAAGAGGGGAGCTGCAAGCAGGTGTGCTGGCCAGCATTCCCATGACCAAGCTTCTTCCCCGCCTGACACTGCCGGTGGCCGTGGGAAGGGTGGAAGAGTGGCACTGCTTGTGCAGTGTGTGGGACTCGAATGCTGGGTGTGCTTGACGTCTGGGCTGTTCAAACTGCACTGGAATCCAGGGAGACAAAACCGGGGAATCCGATGGATTTTCTGCATAAATCAGATTCTTTGCCCATTTCTGTGCCTCTGCCTGTGCCTCTATAATTTCTTGGAGCACAAAAATCCCTATGTACGGATGCGCATGGCACTGATGGTGCCATCAAAGTTGTGGTAGTTAATAGTGAGGTCTGAGGAAAGTACAAGAAGAAGCAAGACAATAATGGAGGAAGCTATTCTCTGCCTTTTATTTATTTAAATTTATTTATAGTTTTTCTGTACTGTTCCATTACTAAACTGACTCTGGACGGCTTAGAAAAACTTTTGGCCATTGCTTCTGTTCATTAGATAATAGCTGGGTTCTTCCTAGGCCATAGCGTATTCCACAAACATGTTTAATTGCTCTTTGGCCTGTTCCAAGACTGAGATAAGGTTTAACTTTCTGAGCCAAGGAGAAAACATGGCATCACACGGGATCTTCATGGAATGCTTACTCCTTCCTCTTTGCAAAACATTCACTACCCTGTTGCTCCATAATGCCGATTTTCCTACAACAGCTACATTCAATCCCTTTCAGCCTGAGGGCCAACTTCCATTTTGGAGAAGGCCTCAGGGGGTGTGGGGTGTGCTTGTGGGGTCAAAGGAAAAGGGGATGTGGCCAAAGGCAAAAGGGGTGGGGCCGAAATGGAAGTGTGTTCTTGCTTAAAGCTCTTCCTGCTTGTAATTATGCCTTAGGAAAGGGATGGCAACTTTTCAGAATGCGCAAGGAGCATGGCAGGACACCACCAAATTACTGATGGGTGAGGGAATGGCAGTGAAGCTGACCCTGTTGCTGGGGCTGATGGAAGCTGAATGCTAAAAGATCTGGAAGGTGGCAGGTCAGGGAAGGCCTCCGTATAAAATACACTCCTCTTGAGGCTAAGACGGCACATGTCTGGGCTAGATGCGGCCGCTGCCTCGGATCGCCTCTGTTGCGAAGGCCCGTTGTCTCGGCATCTTGTCTGGCATTTTCTGCTTGAAGCTGCAGGCTGTGACATCCTGTGTCTCACCACTTGCAGATGATTTGAATAATCCTTTTACTTCCTTTGATGGTATTTCCTTGAAGGTATTTCAACCGCGTATTTAATCTCCTTTTAAAAAATATGTGTATATAAAGGAATGCATTAAATTTCCACATACTTTTCTCTCATCTTGTAGTCTAGGGTTTCTTTGAAATAGATGTTTTCTGCCACCTCTTGCACATTTTATTCCCTGCACACAGGTGCCAAGCCTTTAAAAAGCAGCACTGCTATGCTGGAGCTGCCAGAAGCACTCAGAATAGCTGGCAGAAGGTGGGAGGAGGGCCAATATTATTTCAGAGTAACAGGTAGGATGCGGGAGCCCAACAGGCACATTGCCTTTTTAACTAATGCTGGCTATTCATCACCGGGGACGTGCCACTAGGCCTGCTTTAGAACACTGTTGCTTGAAGGACAGCCTTCCTGGGTGGCAGCCTCTGTAAGGCACTGCTGTCGGATCTCTTGGCGGCCGTCACCTTAGAGATGCTCCTGGTTGCTGAACAACCGATCAGGGAGCAGTCACTCGACCAATCTGAGGTCTGAGTGCACTTATGCAGCTGAAGCTTGTGCACCAGCTGGGCCTGTTCTTGAAGAGGTCTGATCGAGCCACAACCTCTCTGGCCAAGTTGTGTCCAGTTTAGACTATTGTAACAGGGCCTGTGAAGTGCCTGATCCTGCCTAATCTTGGAAGCTAAGCAGGGTCAGGCCTGGGCAGAAGTGGGATGGGTGACTTGAGTGTATGAGTCTATTGCTGTCAACTGCCTAGAGAGCTTTGGCTATAGGCAGTATAAAAATGTAATAATAATAATAATAATAATAATAATAATAATAAAAAAGCTGTCTGAAACTTCAGCTGGTCCAGAATGCTGTGGCCAGACTGTTGACCAGGTCCTGTTACAGGAAGCATGTTGTTGTTTTACCATGTAGTTCAACAAAACAGAACCAAAAAAGCCAAAAATGTACATAATTTTGAATACATCACTTGCAATAGATGCATATGAAATGGCTACCTATGTGCATTTATCTGCATACCAAGAATAAGCTCCAAGAAAGGCAGGCCATGCATTTTTCCATTTCTAAATGGCATCTAAATGCTACCTGTTCAAATACATGCTGAAAGATCAGATTATTAAGACCTCAATTCATTGGTAAGAGAGAACACTTGATACCATTGTTACAACAGCTTAACAGGCTACCAATCTTTTTTCAGTGTATAATTCGAAGGGTTGGTTATGGTCTCTAGAGCCCAATATGTTGGAGCAGGTAGTTTAAAGGACCACATTAGCCTGCTTGTCCATCCCTGGGGTTTAAGATGTTTGTGGGAGCCCTCCATTTGGTAACACTGTCATCAGAGGTCACTTTCTTGGTGGCCACTCCTAACTTCTGGAACTTTCTGCCAAGGGGAGCTAGGCTGACCTCCTTTCTGCTGTCCTTCTGTCAGACAACTAAGACCTGCTTGAATCATGGACTGGTCTAATAGCTAACTACAGCTTCAGGAAGGCCTCTGGACAAGGCTCAGAAAACAACGCCTACATAACTTCATGGAAATGAAGGCACAAGCTGCAACAGAAACATGATCTTTGCTTGCCTGCATGTTCCATGTGCTTGCAAAACCAGCTCTGAGTTCAGCAGTGCTGTCCACCTGCTATTGGGTGAGTGGCATTACTGCCCATGCCATCTGGCAGCACAGTGCCAGGTAATGCCCTGTTCTGGGCCTGCTGTTGGTGGAGGCTTTGATTAATAAGGCTGCAGGACAAATGAGACATCAAAGTTGCTCAGAGGCATGGAATGCCTGTACAAAGAGGGATTGCCGGAACACTGGAAGTGAACATCTTTAAAGTGAGCAAAACCTGCACAGCAGCAGCAGCAGCAGCAACATCCTCCTATCCCATCCTTTCCTGAAGTTTCAGATTAGATCTTGAAGCGATACTCATGGGAATTCGATGAATGTCCACAATCAATGTATGCTTTGGAAACTCAGATTTTATTGCAGTTTCTGTGGAAATGCACTCTGCCACTTAAAAACTAGTGAGACATAGAAAATGTGTCTGGAATAATGAGGCCTGGAATTTTAAATGCCAATTTCAGTTCTAAAATACTGCATTTTAAATGTCATGTTGAATAATTGAATATGCTTCTTACAATGTAAAAATGTAGTAAAGGTTCCTCAAACTCAATATACCCTTTAGAAATATTCCTTTCCCTGTAGTTCCATTGCTGCTGATGGCCATGAGCATTACATCATTTTTACACCTGAAGTAAAAGTCTAAATGACACACTCACAGGTCATGCTCACATGTCACACAAACCTACCCTGGCAATAAGCCACAATGGACTTATTGTTCTGTGAACTATCTATGGTGTCCCTGACAAATTATCGGGCTCAGAGTGAGTTGTTCACTCCCTGCTTTCCCCTCCTTCCTCTTCAGTCCTCCCACAGGTGTTCAGGGGACACTGTGACAAGACTGATCCTTGCTGGGATCGTGAGCCATTTTTGGCTCATTGCAGCTTATTTGCCCTTCATGCCTTTCCCACTCAGAGACCTCATCACTTCTCTCAACCCTTTCAGAGTGCCCAGAAGGGACTGTGGAGGGGCTGTCAGTGGCCAGCACACCATTTTTGATTTTGTTTTGCATGTGCAAAAGCAAAGACATTGTGCAAATAATAATTTTTCCTTTCTTTTTTTAAGTGTGCATCCCCAGCTCTGAAAGTGCAGAAATTTGAAGCCTCACCTGGGTCAGTATCCTCATAAGTACCTGGTGTGAAAATGCAGAAGGTACCTACCCTGGTTTTTCAAGGGAAAAATAAAGGCATGCGTGATCTTTGTTCAGGAAAAGGAGTGGTGAGATTTATATCCTCCTTGTGGCGAGATCTTTTATTTTCTTTCTTTTTTGCCCTGAGAGTGCTCAGGGTGATGCACTTTCTCCTGAGACTCAAACCATTTGTCCAGTCAGAAACTAGCTGTTGTCCTGTCAAAAGCTCCCTTTAAAGAGGACCCAGAGATTTGACAGCTAGCTGTCAAAAGTCTTTATTTTCAGCAAGAGCAGTCAGATGCCTGTTGCACTTTGCTGAGCAGCCAGAGTCTCGGGGAAAAGTAAAAACTTTGCAAAAGCATCTCCCACCAGGTGCTGCTCAGGCACTTTGAAGGGGTTGTCAGTGGCTGTCAAAACATAGATCACAACATGGGGATGTGCACTTGTGAAAAACTAGCAAAAAGGCAAAGAAATGCAACAAAAAATGAACACAATTATGACAATTTAGCGGTGCAGAAACAGTAGCAACAACAAAAAAATATTGGGGAACCAGTGCTAGTCATTCCCCTTGAGCCCTGGGGTGGGGCTATCACAGGTGGTGGCACAGGCCAGGTTGCAAAGGGAGGAGATTGCTGCTCCTGCCATGCCCTGAGTGACTCACCAGCTGATCTTTGCAATCTACGATAAACTTGCACGCCTGGGTTCATGTTGACCCACAGAACATGCCATTGTTGCTGGGAAAAACCACTCTGTAAGTAACAGTCTGGGTGTGTATAACATGGCAACTTGACATGGCCATGGGTGGGTTGTTGTGCTGTGAGAATTGGGGCAATGTTGGAAATAGGTCAATTATGCCTCCTCTAGTGTCTGTCACTCAACCTGATTGTGTTCACAGAAAATCCAGCTTCGTTTTCTTCCCTTACCCAGAGGTGGTCCTGGCTTAAAGGAAAATGAAGCTGCTGCAGGTGATGTATTTTGGGTACTGACAAGGGAGCCAGAGTGGAAGAAGGGCAGAAATCTTATCTGTGGGGTACAAATTACCAGGAAGTTTCCCCTCTCACTGATATCAATCAAGAATGCCATTTGGATATTCCTCTTCTGTCCCCGAAAAACCCTGCATGAGCAATCAGACCATGGCTCTCTGAGAACGAGGGGCAACACCCCTTGAAGACTCCCATGCGTGCTCCAAGCAAGTTGAGGGACAATGGACTCCTCCAGTGACTTCCAGCCCCTGTGCAGCCAGGCCCTTTCCTCTCAGGTTATGACACCACCAAGGCCAAAATGCAGCACCCTCCAAGTGAAGGCCGTGCTGCTCTCTGGCTTGGCAGATGCTTTCCAGGCATCGTCCAGAACAGCCAGGAGAGGGACACGTCTCAATGCTGCTGAAAATGCTGGCAGAAGTGCCCTTGGTGCCGCTTTGGCCCTAACATGAGCAAACTGACCAAGGGAGAGATGAACTCCTAACTGGAGGCAGTTAGCAGATATTTGCAGAGGCCCCACCACCACCCTATTCGTTAGGGTAATGAAAGAGGACAGCTCTGCCAGATGGAGGAGGTGTGCACAGACAGTGCAGGTATGTGGCGGCGGCAGCCGCACCTTTCTTTCTTCCTGGCTCATAACACCCCACACCTCCTGTCACCAAGCTGACTTGTAATGGATGGGCTGGGGAGGTCACCGGAGCATCCTTGTTTTGCACATGTGGGATACGCAAAGTCCTGCCTCCTTCAGCGGGGAGGGAAGCCAGAGGAGCCTGAATGACACTTCATTAAAAGTGGAGTGCATTTGACTTTGCACAGGGCTTATGATCCAAGGCCGTTGCGTATCCAGGGCAGCGGAAACCTCCAGCTCCCTTTCAATTCACTTCCCCCCTCCCCTCCCATGACCGCTTTCCTTTTATCCAAAAGCTCTATCCAGATAGTCAACTTATGTCTGGTCAACAAATAAGCACCCATTGATAGACGGTCACACATATTTACATTAGCCCAGCTCTACTGATAGGAAGACTCGATGCCAGCATGTCACACCTAATTAGCAGAGGGGGTCAGGAACCAGCCACAGGATCTCAGGCAGCTCTTGCACTTCATCAGTTATGCTTACCGCACCCCTCTCCCTGGTCCTGCTCCCGCTGACATGTCACCGGTGCAGTGGAATATGTCAAAGTCACACGTAGCGAGGTGTGTGGGTCATGTCCAGGGACCAGCCTGCCTCCAGTGGGGAAGAAGCTCAGAGGCCAATTTTTGCAGCCACCCAAAGGAGTGGTCGGTTTGCTTCCACACTGACGTCAGCTCTTCAGTGGGTAAAACTGGTGTGCATGTTGGTTGGTGGTCTACAGTGGCTGTTCCAACCTATTTCTATCGCATCTTTAAAAGATGGTGCATCATGTGGCGTATGCTGCCTCTGAGTTTGGGGGGATTTAGCATCCTTCTCCCCATTGTGAAAGCTCAAGATGCCTTGTGATGATTCAGAAATCAGAAACAGAAAAGATAGATGATGAAGACTGGCTGCTTATGCTTCGGTGTTGCACAAGTCCAGGCTGATCGTGGAGCTTCTGGGAGAACGCTTTTTGTGAGTGAGCAGGATGCTATTTACCATTTAAGTTTAGAGGGGAACATTATCCATCTCAGTGCAGTGGAACCCCCTCCCTCCTCAATGCACTGTTACAAAACCTGTTCAGCTGCAGCTCCATTGTTTCTCCTGGCAACTGCTGCTGCAGGACCATTTCCCCCCAGCTGCTACTCTCTCCTTGCCAGATTCAGCACATGGGTGATTGTACCCAGTCAGGAGTCATGAAAAGACTGGGGTGACACATCATGACATCACAGAGCCAATCAGATTTGGCTCTGTGATTGTAAGTAAGGGCAATTGAGAGTGAGAGCTATTTAGGACAATGTAAATGAATACAGCAAAAAAATTTTCAAGATGTGCAGCACATTACACTTCTAGAAGAAAGTCTGGCTAATGTGGTAAAATGTTGCTGAAAATGGGAAGCATTGCAGGCATTGTCAAAATTGTTCATAAAAGTAGTTTTGACAGCTGTACTGTGCTTATCGCTTGCTACTCAGAGGGACTAGCAGCATCGGAGGCACACTTACCAGTGCTCAGAAACAACAGTGGCTTCTATTGCTTGCTTCAGTTCATGCCTTCCAGGTTGGCACTCCATGAATGCTGAGAACAGCACACAAAAAGGCAGTTTGTAATCAAATATCAGAGGCGACAATGACCAAGAATATTGCTTTTATCTTCCTCATCAGATCGGCACCAACACAGGCCAAGAGCTGAAGCTGGGCTGACAGCTGCAACAGCAACAGTAATGGTGTTTATTTTTCATTATACACCCTATTTGTTTGTTTGTTTATTTAGAAGCTAACGATCCACTGAAGTCTACGGAACAGGGAACTGAATTCTCCCATGCCAGCAGTGAAGGATAACTCTGAGTCAGTGCTGTGCGAGGCAACGAGGACGGGGGAAGCTGATATTCCTATGAGAGAGAGGCTTGGAAGCGGGGAGACATACAGTGGTGCTCCAGTGTTGTGCTGGGACGTTAAATGAAAACCAGTGGATCCCATCAGATGAGAGGCCAGCATGAAAGCAAATAGGGTGGTTGTTTGCGCAGAGGACAGCCACCTGCAATAAAGTCTGTCACTCAGAGATGCAGAACTGGTTGGTGTGGGTGTGAGACTGAACATCAGTAGGGTGTGCCAGATCAACCTTGGAGATGCTCCGGAGTTGTCCATACTATGCAGCGTCCATCCATTTTGTTTTATGGAACTGTAAAGCTCAGGACCAGAGCAAGGTATTTTGTTGCCTGAGGCAGGACAACAAAAGCTCCTCTCTAATACATGCAAAGTCAAGGTGCGTACGCATACAATTCGCTCTGTCAGGATGCCGAGAAACAGCTTTCCTTTGAGGACACTTAAAATAATCTGGACACTTACAATAAGCAGGACACTTAAAATAATCTGGACACTTACAATAAACAGGACACTTAAAATAATCTGCCCCACCCTCCCTAATGTTTGCGCCAACCCCAGGGATGTGACAAAGTGGGACACCTTAAATATGAGAATCCAGACCTCAATGCCCTGAGCGAATGCATGCAGGTACTCGAAAAAGTAACATGTAAAATGGGCTTGTTCTATTCTCTTAGGCTCATTCTGCTCAACCCTCTTTTATAACTTCCACGCCAAGGTTTTGCAAATGGCACAACAGCTTTGAAAGGTAATTGGATTGTCTGCTCTCAAGGAATCCAGGCACAACAGAAGAATGTGACAATGCACACATGGACACATTTCACCTGTCTGCGGCAAAACGCCTTTCGCGCTGCCTTCTGACCTCTGCGTGACCTTTCGGCTCCCCCCTTGCATGGTACCCCCTGCCAGATTACAAAGTAGCACGCATCCAAGGTTCAGCATGAGTCTAAAAGATATAATGAACTCTGTGTTGTGAACCCGACCTTTGCCTGCACTGATACTGATAATGATCTCCTTAGAGCCCCAGTTGGCCTGTGGTCTGGGGGTGGGGGAGGCGCAAAACAAATTTCTCTCTCCGTGTGTTGAGCCGGTAACACAGTAAAAAAGGCCCCGTTAATTCAGCTTGTGAAAAGCTGACCCCAGAAGCAAGAGGAAGGGGTGTGGGGGAGGGGGGTTGAGTGTAGCTGTGAAGGGACAAAGCCTTGTGAGGGTTTAGCCCCAGCAAAAGCCGGCTCAGCTGCAGTTCTGTGACTTGGGGAATACCTGGAGATCAATCTCTTCACATGAAAACTGTTCTGGGATCCCTGTATGCGGCTGGAGAAGAAACGTTTGCGTACAATAATGTTGGAGATTTGCAGCCAACTACGCCCGTAGCTGATCTGTGTCCACTGCTAGAAACTAGGGGCTGTTTGCTGGTCAGGAGCATCAAGTTCAGGAGGGCTGTCCAGTGATGAAATGTGGACTATTTCTAAAGAACATAAGAAGAACCCAGATGGATCAGACCAGTGTTCTGTTCACATGGTGACTGGGAAAGAAATAATAGCCTCTAATACTGTAGGTAGTGTAGAGCCATCAGGACTAGTAGTCATTGAT